GAAGGCCGGGATACTTAAGCCCCTTTTGATTATAAGTCGCATTAAATTATGACTATATGATGCACATTGTTATCTGTCAGTTCACATACGTACTTATGCTTAGCATCAGTGAAATTAGGCATTTTTAACCGACTTTAAAAAAAGGAGGAGGTTCTGTACTGTATGTTTTTCTGACTTGAAGTTTAGGCAATTAAAAAAAATACGACTTAGGGTTAATATCTCCCCGATATGTGGCCGTTGACCTTATGATTGTAATAGAGACCTAATCGTAATAGTTTACTTATTTTTCTGTTTCTGGCATTTTGCGATTTTGATTTGGCCACTGCGAAATGAGAAAACGTATTTTTGGAAAATAATGGAAAGGAAAAGTAATATAGAAAAAAGCTTCAAAGAGCTGTGATGAAGGTTAAATAAATAATGATAACAATTAGAAGTATAGATAGGTATATTTATAATTTGACACAATTTAAAATTATAAACGAAGCTAAACATTTAAACCATAGGACTGTTAGATGACATAATAAGCTTTACCGTTGAAAGACGAGGAAGTCAAATGCAACGGAGAACCTTATTACACTGAGTGGAAAACTTAGAGTCGTCGTAAAGTGCTATTGGTCTAATGCTGTCTGATATAAAGTGCACTTTCGATCAGGTGAGATGGAGGTCAAATTCGTAATTCAAACAAATTTTTTTATATAAAAAAAACTTTCAAGAAATACGGGTCACATTTTCGCATTAAAACCTCAAAGCCTCTCGTAAACACGTAAGGAACAGTGCCGGGGTGCTTATTAGGTCCATTTGTTACAGCAAACGTAGACGCTGTATGATCATTGCGACTTTCCGGATAAGCGTTGGGATAAGCTGAATTTAGATTTTATTTGTTTTGCGAATACTACTTACATCGATTTCATGATGAAATGGTTACAATACGTCGGCAACACCTGGAATAAATTATAATATTATTATATTTCTCTCAGTTACTAATAAATGGCTTGCAATGTCTTCGCTACACCTTTGTTGGTTTATTCCTATTTTTAAGTTTTTTTGCTCATTGTTTAACCGGTGTGGTGTGGTGGTGGTCAATTGGTCATGTGACAAGTTATCAACGAGTACGCTATTAACTGAACAGCGCAAAATCTGAGATGAATTATGCAACATATCTAGCCTTCCACCTGAGCAAATCTCCCGCCAATAGTTATTCTAAATTTCCCTGCACTTAATTATGCTTATGTACCAAATAGCGGCATACAATGGGTTGGTATTTTAATGGACAAGGTCGTAAAACTGTAGTAGTCGCACGAGTTGCATCTCGACTGGTAAATATCAGTACGAATGCGATCAAAAGAAAGTAGTCGAAAGCATCGCGAGTGCCAACTGCTGATGCAGTCGCAATACAGACCATGCGACTACATGCAAACTGCATTAGCAGGCGACAGCTGTGTTGCAGTCGGTCAGCCCGATGAGCGGAAACTACGTGCGAGGCTAGTAAACGGCGGAAATTATTGATTTTATTGCGATGAACTGAATAAGAAAAACAAAATAAATGGAAAAAGAATATATTTGTACATTGTTTACTCTTACGGTACGGTGGCTGTATCACAAATTACCTAAAACTATGTGTATACAATGTTAAAAAACACGGGCGGAAATTTCGAACACTATTCACAGTACAAAATATAAAAATAGGAAAGTTAATTACAATAGTAGATTAACAAAAATTCACATTAGCGGTGGTAATGAAAACAATCATAAGTAGACCATAAATTTACTTTTGAGATTTTTGTATGTACAATACTAGAATATAGAGAGCTGAAAAAGTGATTTCGACTACACTGCAAGCGCACTAACTGGTTGAATAGTTCGAATTTGTAACGGTTTTTAGGAAGACTTGTATAGTGATAAGAACTGTCAGTGGAGGTACTCGTACAGAGGTGGCCAAATTGTAGGTAAATGAATAGCGGCAAACAAAAGCGGTAAAAAACATCAAATACTACTTTGGGTACTTTACAGAAAACCTTTAAGTGGACAGGTTTATGATTTGATGCGGGAGTCACGGAAGATATTCAAATCTAAATTAAAATGGTGTTTAAAAAAACAAAATCAAATAAAAATTGATATTATAGCCAATCAACATAAGAACAAAGATTTCTCAAAATTTTGGAAAAGCACATCTAATCTGAACTCAAAGCCTAGCCTCCCTGCAAGCGTGTGTGGGGTCAGTGATCCGAAAAGTGTGGCAAATTTATTTATGCAGCATTTCAAGGTACAGGCCTTGCCCACCATATCAGAGTGCACTACGGCGGAAGCCGCCACGCGGGGAAGGAATGGTGATGCTGGGTTACGTCATGAGGGTGTACGCACGTCACTAATTTATTTCTCAGCACGAGATGTTGAACGCGTCATTAAGCATATGACTCGTGGGAAGTCGCCCGGTCATGATGGGCTTGGAATTGAACATTTTAAGCATGCGGGTGTGCATCTGCCCAGGGTGCTCAGTATGTTTTATAATATGTGTGTTTAGACATACCTACTTGCCTCCTGACCTCATGCGAACCCTAGTGGTTCCAATTGTAAAAAATAAAACTGCGGATGTGTCTGATAAGTTAAATAAGATAAGTTGTTCAACTACAGACCGATTTCATTGGCTACAGTTACAGGAAAGGTATTTGACGGACAACTTGATAAACACCTGCACCTGCATGATGCTCAGTTCGGCTTTCGGGCCGCGCTCTCGACTGAAAGTGCAATATTTAGTTTGAAGGAGACCGTGGACTACTATTTGCAGAGGAAAACTCCTGTGTATGGCTGTTTCCTAGATATCTCAAAAGCATTTGATCTCGTCTCTTATCAGACACTGTGGGACAAGTTACGAGTCACGGGCATGGGGGGTTGGTGGATGTGTTTGTACTCTGGTATGTTCATCAGGAGAATTGTGTGAGATGGGCAGGTGAATTTTCGGACACGTACAGGCTGGAGTGCGGGGTGAGGGAGGGGGGACTGACGTCTCCAAAGCTCTTCAGCTTGTACATGAACGAATTAATCGTTGAGCTCAGCAGCATACATGCGGGATGTTCCATTAATGGTCAAATGATCAATAACATTAGCTACGCAGATGATATGGTGCTGCTGAGCCCTTCGGTTAGTGCATTGCGGAGGCTGCTGTGTGCCTGTGAAACATATGCCGTATCTCACGGAATAAAGTATAACATTAAAAAAAAGTGAGTATATGGTATTTGCGCCGCGTGGTAAGTCTCCCAGCTATGTACCCCCCATCCAACTGTATGGTAGTGAATTGTCTAGGGTGACACAGTTCAGGTACCTGGGTCACATAGTAGATACGGAATTAAAAGACGATTGTGACATGCAAAGGGAGCGTAGGGCGTTGGCGGCCCGAGGGAATATGCTGGCTCGCAGGTTCGCGTATTGAACAGGTGAAGTACAAGTGACCTTGTTCAAGTCATACTATCAATCATTTTACTGTAGCGGCCTGTGGGCTAGGTATACCCAAAAGACCTTCAACGAGCTACGTGTCCTTTATAACGACATGTTTAGCATGCTGTTGGGGTTGCCCACATGCTGTTGGGGTTGCCCAGGTACTGCAGTGCATCTGGTATGTTTGCCGATACACACACTGACTGTTTTTATGCTGTAATACGCAAAAAAATAGTTTCAGTGAAACGCAGAATGCTGGGGAGCCCCAACAGCATACTTAGGACATTAGCCGATAGACCGGATAGTGCCGTACAGAGGCATTGGGTATCGGCTCTTATAAATCCTGGACATGTATATTTAATTAATTCGTTTTTATTTTGTATTTATTTACATTTGGTTTTTTGATTCATTATAATTTTTATTGTATTTATTATTTTGTGATTGTGTACTAAATTATTACTAACATAGCGTCTAAGCATTTGTTGTAAATGTAATTAACACCATGTAGTCTTAATAAATGAAATTTTGAATTTGAATTTAACAGCGAGCAGACAAAATTATGAAATTTTATTTTTTTAACGCTTAACGCTTAATATCATATTAAGCTTAAACTGTCTTTCGCATCTCTTGTAAAGGTGATTTTTTTTACTTGTATCGCTTTTCACTAGGGCCACAGATTTGTTTGTCACTCCCAGCATAAGTAGACAGCTTTATTGTTGAGAAAATTATAAAGTAACCACTTACTCAACGGTAGTGGGTCCTTAGTGCGTATTGGCGGTGCAGTCGACAAGACTAACATGCGTCTCACAATGCGAGCTTCATGAGACCCACAGTCATGAACATCACTGGATATACCATGCTACGTTCGAACTACGACATTGGACGGATGCATTAACGAATCACAAACATTGTATTACCTACTACAATAAATAGCAAAGAACCTAGTTTATTACCAGTTTACTATGAAAAAGCTATACACAATTCATCACAAATTAAAATCTAAAGCTCACTTCAGAGCTCGTGTGAAGTTAAAACAAATATTTCCAATTAGTGATGAAATGAAAACAAAAATGCTAATTACTGCTTAATAATAACAAACAATGTTAATGTCCATTTTCATGTCATTAACATCGGACCTTCAAAGTAATGTACATAGCCTTTTGTATTATAATAAATATACTAACTTCGTAATAAACCTTTTATTTAACATGAAACTTATTTTATAAAAAGAATGAACAAACCATGTAAGTTCGTCAACGGTGAAAATGTAATGGGTAATTTTCAGGTTAATTTTCTCTACGTAATTTTCGTGGCAGTTTTTATTATTTAAATATTGAAGCATATTATCGTGAAATATATATTTCAGGTTATTACCCTCGAATAATATTGTAGAATATTGCAATTGCCACAAAAATTATTATAGGTTGAGAAAACCAACCTGAAACTAACCTAATTATAAATAGTTTTTACTAAGTCAAGAAGATTTTTGAATAAAAGACTTTATATGGACTACCTTTCGGCAATTAACAAAATTACAGTAGATTAGTGCATATGCCAACAATATCAGTGAAAAAATAAGTTTTGGAACTTTTAGAAATTCGTAGACAAATTATGCAACATTTGTGTTCTTATATACTCTTTGGTTCTACGACAATATAAAAAACACAATTTGTGACAATTACAAGTCTTTTCACTTACTTTTAAAAATTCAAGAAAGCTTTGCAATATAATTGCAGTCCACATAATCGTTTCGTTTTCATTTTACGGTAACTCATCTATGGCGTCCGAACAGAAAAATATAACAAAGTTGCTGCTTCAATTACAAAATTAACTTTTAGGTGATAATGCACAGTTCTGTCTCGATTTCTTAAATTACATATCGCTAACTTTGAAAATTCATTCTCGCTAAAATTAGGCAGAAATAATCTATTTGAAAATGTTTGTTATTTATTGACATCAAATCCAAACAAAGCATTTAAGTGACAATTCTTTAGTTAACTGTTTTTATTTTCTTCTGACACTGACGGAAATCATTACTTTTTTAACATTTTGATATCTATTATATCATGGTGCATTATTATTTTGACTTCAATGCTTTTCACGGAAAAAGTGTACGTAATTTTTGGTGCTACAATTCGTATCTTGCACTATGTGCTCCCGACCTGTTTCAATTAATTTTATACTGTTAAAGCCAAGCAGTTGGTCTGTTGACAGGGCTGCTGGGGGTGGAAACGGAGTCGTTTAACGGCGAGTCGTCGCTCTCGGCGGAGTGCACCTCTCCTGGCTGCCGGCAAAATGGGCACTGCCCGCGGTTCACCAGCTGGACCTCGTAATCTTCCAAATAAAATAGCTGGAACGACCGACATTATATTATAACCATTTCTAATAACGTGGAAGGCATCACTGAAAAACGACAGCTACGAAGAACATACTCAGATCAAATTGAGAGGGTTTTTAAAAAAGCTGGAATGAAAATAATAAGCGGGCCTTTATGAAAAGATAGATGAATGTAAGAGACGCAAAAGAGCTTTGTCAAGAGTGTGCTAAGTGGCAATCGATAGTCTATGTCTACCCCAATGCACAATGATTTGTCTAGAAGTAGCTAGCAGGACAAAAGTATTTTCGGCGGCATTTAGTTTCGAACGCCTCTGCTAAGTCGAATTATGAACATTTCTAGTGTTAATAATCCTCGGATTCTACCGAATCAGGTACTTTAGAAACTGAAATACGTTTTAGAAGGAGCAACATATTTTATTTATAAAATAAATGGAAACAAAATGTAATGTTATTATAACTAATGAATTATGTTAAAATAAAAATAAATTAGCACAATACGTATATAATTAAACTAATTAGTTACTAAATAATAACTAAATAACTAATGTTATAATACTACTAATTTAAAACTTTTACATTTATTTCTAAGTTATATCAGTTAGAAATGAATTTATCTAAATGAGGTTATTCGTCATCTCTGAGCTCGTCTGAAGCATCCTCTGAAGAGTCGTCAACACAATAATCTGTGTGACTAATAACAGATTCATTAGGAGCTATGATTCTTTTAGGAAAACTTGGAAAAATTAGGTCTAAGACTTCGGAAGGGAGAGAACCTGTCTTCTTTTGCGGAATGTCCCTGAGGCTGTTTATTACAGGATCAGATGTAATTATTAACATACTATAATATACGTGACTGTTTTCGTGTATTATCTTCTCGGAATCTTCTGCAATCTTTATTCGAGCTTCTTGACTTCTTCAGAAAGCTGGCCGATTGGTAAAAAAGCCGATTGAATAATATCTGAAGTATGTACAAGTATTTTATGTACTGATAGTAGGCATGTAATACCACGAATACAAACTCAAACACAGTTTTCTTGTTTCTTGTGGTAGATGTTGAAAGTTTTTCTAAATTGATATCATATCCGGATGAAAGTGTCCTTAGTAAAATATCAAAATTCCTTACCAATGTCTCATCTAATCCTGTAATTTCAGCACTCTACTCAGGATTTGCAAAAAACCTACGAGCAGTATTCCCATCATTAGTATGGCCAAACACTGGCTTTGGTTTATCTACAATTAAACCCATTTTTTCTTAAAACTTTCTTGAATAGTTACAGAACGTTGTTTCACAAGAGCTTTATCTGCGGCTTTACGAGTAAAAAGGTGTCAAAATTTTAGATTTGTTATTTATTTTTAACACAATATACTAGTTTCTACTTAACTTTCGTGTTATTGTTATAACACTCTCTAAATTACACTAAAATTAATTTTTCTTTAGTCGCAGTTCATGTATTTTGTTAAATAAGTTAGATAAGAGTTAGCAATTTTGCCGCACCTTTAAAAAATTAGCTCGATACTCCACAAGTTATTCCTATGTCCAAGAATTATCAATTTTTGGCCCACTGTGCAGCGCAGCGGAATGACAAAGCAGAAAATCGTTCAAGAACGTACTAGCTTATACGGTCAAACCATATTACGTACCACAGAGTATATAATACATTGGTACTTACGTTGTGGCAGTGCGGGCAGGCGACGACGGGCAGCTCGGGCAGCATGTTGCGGTAGAAGGCGTTGCGTGCCACCACTACGCAAGCGGGAGACAGCGCTAGTAACGCGCCACGGCTACACACGACCACGCCGCTCTCGTCATCCTATACCACACGTGGGAGTCTCATTTAATACTCTTTCCATCATATTATTTACTAAACTAAACGGTGCGTTCCGAGATAACACGCCATTTTTCTGTAATACTATAAAATATTTTTTCTACTCCTGTACTTTAATCGATCAATTATGTAATTGGACAAATACTTAGAGGATGAAAAAAATAAAGGGAAAATATATAACCATACCACAAAGGCGCTCTTTTTAGTTCTGAATCAAAATTTTATTGTCTATGATACTCACCACTGACCTGACAAATTTCATTATAGTTCTGTATAAAGAACTACAGTGTGTTTCAAAAAATTATCTTATTTTTGCTAATGATATTTTCATTTTATGATATGATTTTTCTTTCGCTAATGATATGATCAAACATGACGCTCCTACAACGCTGTACTGGTTCCTGATGGGACTTTTTTTTATTGAAACTGGATTAAAGGTCTTGCAACCATGCCATAAATATTTGTAAGAAAAATATTGATTTAATATTTATGCGGCATTTGGCCACTTCTATTCTATCTCTCTGTTTTTTGCTTTGTAGCATTCGTTTGGCTTTCATCTAAATAAATGAAGAGCCTAGGTGGTGACACCATGGCACTTTTGCCTAATCAAATAAATGGGTAAAAACTTATTTAAAAAAATTAAGATTGTTGTCATGGATTAATAACAAAATATACATTAAATATTGGTTGTGTTTCATTACTTTATTTACGCGTAGAGAAAGTATTGTATGCAATCATTACATAATTAGGTGTTACAATCTCATACCTATTATTTAGTCGTGGCCTAAACACTAAAGTACCTAAAATAAATACCTCGTCCACTTTATCCAAGAAAGGATCAGCGGAGTCAACGTCATGTTCTATCCGCAGCACCTCTGCGCCGCTGGTGTCACCCCTGGCGGAGGAGTCGGGCAATGTGGTGCGCTCGACCAGCTCCAAAGCTTCTTCAAAGGATATGCCCTCCGCTGGCTCAAACTGCACCAAGGGTAACACCTCTGCAATGCGACATTTCTTTAAAAGAATTTGTCTACTCCTGTTCTTTAATCTGTCAATTATAATTTCATAAAGCATATCACGAAGGCGCTCTTCTTCTGAACCATAATTCTATTGTCTATGGTACTCGCTACTGAACTGAAATATTTCACTATAGTTGTGTACACAAAACTACAATGAATGTCAAAAAAAGAACATCGTATTTTTGCTAATTAAAAGAGTTTCCTTAATCTAGTCACTGTGTTTCTGCGCATAATAACGTCACTTAACGTCATTTAACACACATATTTGTGAAATTATTAAAATTATTTTATTAAATAATAATTTTTCAATATGTTATTTAACAGGTACAAAGATGTGACTATATAAAATATGACGCTACTCAAACGCACTACTGCCTTCTGCAGGGCTAGCACGATAGGGCGCGACTAGCGCGAGAGCGACATAAAGTGCGAGATACTGCTATGCTATTCTCGCACAGAGATCTCGCGATTTAAGTCGCTCTCGCGCAAGTCGCGCCTTATCCTTATCCTGTATACACTTGACATTGTTCGTTTCATTCAATTATTTATTAGTTTAATTAATTATGTTGATTTTGTATATGTACACTATTGTGTACTTATCGACTCACTATTATATTTTTATTTCTTAATTATTTTGTAAACTAAAGCTTATTTTTCGAAAAGTAGTATCAAATGACACGTAATTGTATTTGTATGAAATATGTAATGTTGAGAGAAATAAACTAAACTATCGTGCTATCCCTACTGATTGGTTAAAATGTAAGCGGCACTTGGCCAATCACGGGCACTTCTATTGTCTCTTCGCTTTTTGTTTTGTAGCGTTCTCTTAAATCAAGAATTTTAATTAAAACAGGATTTGGCCTAAAGGTTTTCTAACCAGGCCATAAACATTAAAAAAATATGTCAAATATTACTTTTTTTACTTTTTCTATTATACATCTTCTCTTTCTCGGTCTTCTATTATTTCCTCACATTGTTTGAGAAATACACTATTTAAGCCTCGGCGGGAACGGGGATTGCTTGACTCGTAACTCATACTCGTGCAGCAATCCCTTACTTCCCGGCCTCTGCAATAATGTATGTACATTATTGAGATTTAAAACGGATGTGTACCGTGTGTGGCGAGCGAGTGCGCGAGCGGGTGCCGGCAGTGCGGGCAGCGAAGTACGCAAAGCGGCGGCGCGTGGCGGCGGCAGCGCCAGCACAGCACAGCTACCTCATCGTCGCGCGCCTCGCCCCCGCCTGCACGGGTCCTCACGATCAGTAGTTCCACGCTCTCCTTTAAACACATTTTTGAAAGTTTCTTTGAAATAGTATCAATATTTAGACAAGTGATTTTTATTTTGGATAAATATTTCATGGTTATCATGTAAGTGCATAAAATGACCTCTGTTGCTTATTATACTTCAAAAAATTACTGATCTATTTTTACCATTTTTCTCCATATTATTATTAAATCGTTACGTTGCCTCTACTATATTGTACACTCTATTTTAAGATTGTAATAATCTTCTCATCATCAATTATGTATATAATATAATATATAATTATGTATATACATAATATAATCTAAAATATAATAAAATTATATTATGTATATAATATAATCTCATCAATTAATCTTTATACTAAAATCGTAAGGTTTTATTGATGTGCTTTTGATTAATTTATTAAATATCGAGTTCTTAGGTTTTCGCCATTGTTACACATAGGAAATGAAACTATTTTTTTTTAACGTCGGTTTGTTTGAAAAAACAAAAATACGCGATTTAAATCCGGAAAAAAGTTTCATTTCCTAATTTATGAAATGTTCAGCGCTTTGTTTTGCAATTCTACAATGTCACAAAATGATATACGGTGCAATGAGAATTTGGTTTTGCAGTTACAGCATGTTTAATAGTTATTTGTTATGCAAGGCTGCACAGTTATTGTTTGACGCGAGTACTTGTATTGAAACCTGAGCAAGCGAAAAAAACTAAGATTGAAGCGAATGAATTTTTCACCTCACTATAGCGAGGAAAATGGTACATGAGAGAAAACTAGTTGAACTATATGTACGACAAATCACGTCGTTAAACGTGTCAGTCTTTTTTTTTTCATCGAAAGAAAAAGTTAGGGCACCACAGTCCGTCGTCAAGTTCGAATTTCAAAAACCTTTTCCACACTAGCGTAGGAAAAACGCTTTTGCGCGCAGATTTCTAATGAAAAAGAAAACTTATCCGAATTAGTGAATTGAAAAAGTTTTTTTCGAACATGAAAGGTGACGAAGGTAAAGGTATTGACAGGACCAACTCGATTCGAGAAGGAGTGGTGGGAAGTCACCAAAAAAAAAACAAAAAAAAAACTGCAGTGGAGAATTTGGGGGGACATTTGCCCAGCAGTGAGACATAGTAGGTTCAAAAAATAATATAAATAAAATTTCAGCGAGTGTACATCTTAGGAACAATCGTTGCACATGTAGCATGAACCTTCATAAACGCCCTCATTCTGTACTGTAGCATATGCGTAAATCGTGGGAATCATGCTAGCCTAATTAGAATTAAAACCCACCCATCGCGCGTCCTAGAGACACACTGTGTCCCTAACGATTTTGATACTGTTGTGTTCTAGGACCCATGCTAGAGACACACAGCTGTGTTTTCATTCACATTTTTAAAACTTTTTATATTTATGAATATTAAAAAGAACCAAAACCGTTAGGGACACCGTGTGTCTGTAATACGGATTAAAAAAGAAACTCACCTGAAATTTTTGTGGAATCTGAAAAGCCAGGATCTTGTCCAACATCTGTCGGGCCAGGGAATTTGCTTTAAGCGCCTTGGCTTGCTTCGCTAGACACAGGTACAGGCAACTGAACCGATGCTAAGGAATTTGTAGTTGCTTATGTTACGCCATGGTTTACAGTAGCTACTACTATTATATCTTTACTATGTTATCTTTATGTGCTAAAATGATTATGTAACAGTGCAATAAAAGAAAACTAAGAAGACCGAAGACGAGGAGAACAGATTAAATCGCCAAAGATCTAAGGAGCTGCCATGTTTTTAAAAACGACACGTCCAATAGAGCAAAGTGGAGGGAAAATACAAGAAACGCAGAACCCACCGTCAGATGGGAATAATAATGCTAAAGAGAGAGAGAGAAGGAGAGAGAGAGAGAGAGAGACGAAGAGAGAGAGGTGGAGAGAGAGAGGTGGAGAGAGAGATATAGAGAGAGAGATATAACTAACTCGATTGAGTGACCACTGATCTACTGATACTGATCTCCTACTTTGAATAAAAAAAAATTATAACTTGAGATTTAGATTTATGATTTCAACGCTGACGCAACGCCCGTGTGGCATCGCTCTTACAGAACATAGCGAGATTGTTATTCAGTACATCAACATGAATTACGAGCATTTATTTATAAATTTTGTGAACTAAAAACGTCGATATTCATTTATACGACTAGGCGACATTAGATGGTAGATATGGTACTAGAAATAAACTAGATTAAATTATTTATATATTTTTTTTTATAATATTAAGTGACGGGAAGAATAAATCGTTCGCCTGATAGTAAGGTACACCTACAAGCCTATCCATAACAGTTGCAGTGCCACTCAGAGCTTTAAATCGCGAAAATCTGAGGGGCACTGCCACTAATCCCGTAATCCTGAGACATAAGTTGATAAGTCCCATGTGCCCGTAATTTCACCAACACCCTTACACTTCAAAACCGGTAACTCAGTAATGCTGTAACATTATCGCTTGGCGGCAGAAATAGGTAAGGTGGCACTACTACCTGGATGAACTCTTTAACAAGGAGCTCTACTGCTACATCTGTAAAGGATACAACATGGAGACGCCGGGTGGTGCAGGCTGGAACGCGTGCAGCAGCGCCAGCACGTAGCGCGCAGCGTTCAGCAACGTGTCAGTCTGACTCAGTGAAAACGGCTCATGCACGCAGCGGTGCACGGACTCGTACGCGTGGTAGATGCGTCCGAGCTGCTCGTTCGTTGAATACGCTTGTAGGTTTTGTTCGCGGGTCCTGTGTTGTATATTGTTAATATTTTCTACATTAAAAATCTTCACACATGAGAAGCATTCAAATATAAAACACTACTTTTTACATTATTTAACTGCCTCCGTGGCCGAACGCTTACCACACAGGACTGCCACGCAGAGGTCCCGGGTTCGATTCCCGGGACGGGAGAGCTGTTTGTATGGCCTACATTTATTTATCTCGTGTTTTTGGGTGTAATTTGTGGTTGTCTACCTATGTGTGTGTCGATGGCACCCGCGATACATGATTTTTCTAATGCTGGACTTTGAGTGTATTAAAAAAAACATTAAAAAATATATAAATACATTTCTAGTAGCTTCACTTGAAAATAAATGAGTCCATAAATTTAATATCAAGTAAAAAATACAACTAAGCTAGCCACCTTGATCTATACAGGTATTATAGTGGTAGTACACAGAGAAAGACTTCTAAAGAAAATGTTAAAAGTATATTGGTATAAAGTACAAGTGTCATGGTAGCAAATATTTCCTTGATATAGTGTATCGGTAGATAGCCTGTAACGTACTTTATAAAATAAAGCATAAAAAACATGTTAAACGGCGCGGCAGCGCCAATGGCCTACTTCGTGCAGTGGCCGAAAGGAACGATAGGCTTATATTATATGAATGGGTGCGGGTACATGTCAATGTTTAGATGATTTATATTAACATAGTTTATAAGTATTTTGTTACTAACATTATATGGATATTTTGTCCGAAATAAAGATTTGAATTGGATTCAATTAAAGTGCGGCACGTGGCTAAAGCAGGTCGCCGTGTGTGCAGAGTTATACCGAAGATCTAATCTTACCTATAAGGTCTATGCATGAGACCATGAGACCATGCATAGGCCTTATTTAGTTTTCACGAATCGACACGAAGCTGAATTGGTAGTTCAAATAAATATTGAGTACGTAGTGTTTATCTATTAACATTAATACTGCATAAAAATCAACAAAACCTTTTATAGATTATTTGACTACAACTTCGCTATGTATGAACGAATTAATGCACAAGACCGTACAATGTAACAATAATAATACTTGTTCCTGGAGTTGTTGGCTGTTTCGAGGCACTGCGTGGCGAGCAGATGGTGAAGGTAGCCAGCGTCGCTGAACCGCTCCTCAGCCACCGCGTTGCCAACCAAGATCGAAAATACGCGAAGTGCCGTCGCCGTCTCACCCGCCATGTAGTATGCTAATAAACCAACCAAAGCAAACAAACCAATGGCAAAACTCTTGACACTTTAGTCAAACACTTTAGTAATATTAGGTCTAGTTGTGCCCGATACTGTTGAAGTGAGGTAAAGAAATACTAGTAAAACCTAGTCTGCACTCATCACGCCGTTACAAAATGATATAATTATAATGTGAGAACTATACGATACAATACAACAAAATTATATAAAATGTACGAGATTTTTTGTCATAAAAAAGGCCGTATTTGTCGTACGTAAGTGACGATGAGGTCGACGATGGAGCATGCACACCTAAATATAGCCTATTTATTCACTCTCGCTTTAAAAAGTCCCAAGTTATAAGAGTTCGGATAATAAGTCTACAGGCAGGAAATTCACGTACCGCATATAAATATGGAATGCCCTGCGAATATAGAAATATCCACAACATAGATATGGAACCCTAATCTCCCGATAATGGAAAGGGGAAGGTGGAATTAAATCATGCAATTCTATCGCACACCCTCCGTGACACATTCTGTAGAATACATGACGCAACGTTGAGTACGTCTCTTGGCCAAATCAAGAAACCTATTCCTATGAATTGCCAAGGAAAATGTATGTCGTAACAAATATTTGTCCAAAGATATCCCTATAAATTCAAAGTCCTCCGATTTCAGGAGATGCTTATTGGAAGGATATCAGAAATGGTTGATGGGCAATACGATATTGAAGACTGTCCCAAGAACGCGTTAATTAATAAAAGATATGGAAAGAAGTACACTTGGGTAACTTACCTTTTTGCGCCTCGACAAACTTGTTCTCCTGAGCCATTCGATGTGCGTAGGGTAGGTATACGTCGCGACGGCACTCAGCGTGTTCCCGCGCAAGAGCAAAGGCGCGTGTCCACTCGCCCGCTGATACTGCTAGCTTTGCTACGTTCCTGGTAATCACATACACCGTGTCGCGTACTAAATCGCGATTTAGTATTAGTTTTATAATGTCAGCATTAGCGGGAACTAGCTCGGTAGTTCAGGCGTCAAATATTCTGAAGGTGAGACATCAGGAGTCTGCTGTGGGTACACTGGTTAGTCATACATTTAACATTGTTAATTGCTAACTTAGATACAATATTAGTTGTCACGATGGCCTGAAGATAGAGTATCGCAAAGCAGAAACCATCACTTCCATTGAATGTAGAGGAAGGGCTTTAGATTTAGATGCGTGTGTGGAGCCTCGAGATAGGAATCAGAGGATTACTTAAGATCCAAAGGATCGATATGGGGTTGTGGACCTATTAAGACAATGATAGTAAGTCCTACAATGTAGAATGGAGTTCGACGAGGTACACGAGAAGAATTGTAATAGGAAAGAGTATTTAACACACCGAATAACATAGATACTGTACTGTAAAACAAAGTGAAAACTTTAGTCGCATATTTGGTGTCACTCGACGACTTTTAATTATTTATGCGAGGGTACACTATGCCATGTATTAACAATTAAAGAACACGAAACAAATCACGGGCGAACTCGTATTCTTGAAAGCATAATTACTTGTAGTCCCCTAGACGCTGGTAGACGTCGGCAGCGGTGACGAGCTCGTCTACCGCCACCAACGCCTCAGCCACGTGCCGCAAAGACTCCGACGAACCCTTGTCCAACTTGCGTGCCAACTCTATCAACCTGTACGTATAAGATCCAGATTAATCTACTATTTGTACTTAGATGACATAATGGTATTCCGCAATAGAGCTACTTAAGATAGTCCTCATATTACAGATGTTTGGTACAGGGTCAAGGACACGTCAAGCTCGACACTTAACATTTAAATCCAACTCTATGCCACTTAGGATAAGAACGGTCCAAAGTACAAAGTGTCAAACTCGAAGTGCTTTTGATTGTACAATGATACGTGGGCGCACTATAAGTTTCCGGAATGAATAAGAAAAAAATGCTATAAGTGATCAGAAATAAATTTATTGTTTCTCAAAATATTCTCCGTTAGCGTTAATGTACTTTTTCATACGAATGAACCAATTTTGAAAACATTTATGCCACTCCTCTGTGACAATCTCTGAAACATATTTTTCATACTCTTCGACAGCCTCTTCAGGTGATGAAAATCGTTGACCGCGTAACTGGTTCTTAATTTCTGGAAATAAATAAAAGTCACAAGGTGCCAGGTCGGGACTGTACGCGGGATGGCTCATAAGGTCAACGTTATTCACCTTCAAAAATTTATTTGTCTGTCTGGTCGTGTGAGAACTGGCAATATCGTGGTGCAAGATGATACGGCGTTTACGGTTATTTTTACGGAGTTTGTCAATAACTTCCGGCAAACAAAAGGTCGTGTGCCAATCACTATTCGCGGTACAACGATTCTCCAAAGCAACAGTAGCCACGTGTCCAGTTTTATCAAAAAAAGAAGCAATCAGCCGCTTAGAGGCACTTTGCACGCGCTCCACTTTGGTTGGTTTCGGCTCATCTCGAAAGACCCATATGCTCGATTGCTGCTTTGTTTTAGGATCGTAACTATAAATCCATGTCCCACGCCAAATTTGGCGCCCCTTCGTTGAATCTGGTAAGCATGGCATTGCACCAAGTGACGCGATCCGTTTTTTGAGCCTCAGTCAAATTGTGTGGGATCCACCGAGAGCACAGTTTTCTCACACCCAAATGTTTGTGTAGTATTGATTGTATTTGACTCACGCCTATACCTAAAGATGCCCGAATCTCATGGTATGTCACATGCCTGTCTGTTTTGATTATACGGCGCACAGCATCGATGTTTTTGTTGTTCACAGCACAGTGGACGGGCGACCATCACAAAATTCGTCACTGAGATTCACACGACCGCGTTTGAATTCTGCAAACCAGCTATAAATAGTCGTCTTGCATGGTGCTTCATCGCCAAAAGCAGTTTGAAGCCGAGTGAAGCTCCGCTGAGCTGTAATATTACACTTAACGTCGTAGAAAATCATACCACGAAAATTTTCACAAGTTAAATCCACGGCGATGTAGACAACCAATTTCTAAAATGACGCCACAATGTAAAAACAAGTGACAGTCACGTGAAACAAACTGTATTCTACAGCTAAAGAGTTCCATTTTCAAATGTTGTAATTAATTTTTAAATATTGTTGATGTAAGTGGCCAGTTCCGGAAACTTATAATGTACTAGTGATACAATGGTACTAATATTACAGACGATTCCAGAAGTTTCCAAACTTTTTGTGTTGACAGCTGACACAGTACTAGTGAGAAAGTTTATACAAAAAATTGTTGTTAAGTTTTATCTACTATTTATCTAATTGAATATCTTGTGCGTTGTGAAAAGTTTAAGCACTTCCGAGATAATTTATGCCATTATATTATATTATTATGTACGTACACGCATTTATGTACGCACTAGTGTGGGCAATGTGGATTATTCCATTTTATGTAAAGTCTAAATTTTGGTCTCAGCCTGCCTGAATGGGTTCTAATCTCATTATCGTCTCACGCACTCCCTAGTTTTTTTTTACTCACGATGGTTACTTGTAGTTTGGAGTGGACTATACACTTTACATTTTCATTGCTAAGCCACATATTGCTAAAATATTTACTGACATGTCGCGTCTTCCGCAGGCGGCCATGAGGTCCGTGGCGCGGCCCACATCACCAGCGGCAAGGTACATCTCGGCGGCGGCGCGCGGTTCGTTCACGTGACGAGCCCATTCCGCGCGCCGCCTCGCCAATGCTTGCAGCCCTTCTCCTTCGCCTACGTACTCCTGCAAATCGTTATATATACTGAATTAATATAAAGCCCGTCACACGTCCTACAGACAAACGTTGGTTTTTTTATAAATTTAGTTTTTTATTAATTCAAACAAAGTCAAAACATAATAACGAAAATCGTTACATATTGAACTAATACAGGACCCGTCCGTGTGACGGGCAAATCGCTATATACTGAATTAATATAAAGGCCGTCACACGTCCTATAGACACACGTTGTCTCTAACCACTTTGGTTTTTTTTTAAATGGCACACAAAAACACAACTGCGAAAATCGTTACATACTGAAACATTACAGAGCCAGTCCGTGTGACGGGCAAATCTTTACCCGTCCCACGTTCTATAGACACACGTTGTCCCTAACGACTTTGGTATTTTTTTATTTTTATATATTTATACATTTAGTATTTTTTTAAATGGCAGATAAAAACAGAACGGCGAAAATCGTTAGGGACACCGTGTGTGCACGCGTGACAGGATAATACCTATTATGTAATAAATATTATGTTGTTTTAATTATTCTAAGTATTCATATTAGTACATACATGCACCCACTATCATACACCATGGGCAGCGTCCACACACACACACACACACATACTCTTAAACAAACACACTTTGCATTTCAGAACTTTTAGTCTCACTTAATTTAAGATCAACATCATTTCATTTGATTTTTTATTCTTTTTGAATAACTATATAATTAATTTCAAATTAATTAGCATAGTTCTGGTTCAGAGGCCTGGTCTACGTAGTTTGAGCACCAGTCTCCCGCTATGTACTACCTTACGATGTACTTTTTAAAAAAGTGTGGGAATTGGAGAGAATAATTTATTATTACGTCATTCGTGAATAATTAATCTCTATTTTCGATGATTTTCGACTAAATTTTTCGCCTTTCAATTAAGTAAATTATTTGTCAAAACTTTCACTGTCCACATTTTTGTCGTTTATACAATTCTATAACCAGTTACTACATCATTATTCCCTGGTACCCATTTAAGCCTACATATTATATACACTATATAAACACCTATTAAAGAAACACATGGGCACGGAGGACTATGTTCTGTAGATAAATTTAAGCCGGCCTTGATGATTGTCAACCGCGATCGAATGTGGCATTCCAACAAGACAAAAGTGACATTATATTATGAAAAGAAAATATCAAGTAGCATTAATTAACCTGTGCTTTGTTGAACATGCGCAGATCGACGTACATGGCGAGCGCACGGTCATCGCGGCCGGCTGCACGGAACGCACGTGCAGCCTCGGTGCTGCGCCCGCGATACGCCAGCACCTCGCCCGCTACCACTGCGCGATTCTCGCCGCCTTCGAACCGCTCCTACAAAAACCTTTACATTGTGTATGCGATATCTTAATTTTCTTAACACAACACACTTGAAATTAAACCACGACTGACAAGATCCAAGACTTTAGAAGAAGACGACAAAATTTTAGCAGTAGTAGAACTCCTTGTGAAAGAGTTCATCCAAGGAAGTACTGCCGCCTTAACTATATCAGCCACCAAAGCAGAAATGTGAGCAAGGTAAGAGTGCTGGTGAAATAACAGGCAAATGGTACTTTTCAACTTATGTCTCAGGTTGACGGGCGCAGTGGCAGTGCCCCTCAGATCTTTGCGATTTAAAGCTCCGAGCCACTGCCACCACAGCCACCAGGCGCAGGGCTTGTTCGTCCCATCACTGTGTATCATAAAAAATAGATCCTCAGGTAGATTTAAGAATTCTATTCAAGATGCAATATTTTCCAAGTATGCAATAAAAACCACACATAATAATTTTATAATAGTGGCCGGAAACGCCATTCTCAGGAGTGTAGAGAAACTGTAGGACCCTTTTAATATTTTAACGTATACTAATTTTAACATTGGCTTACTTACGACTAACTTCGTCGAGCTACCTTTGTAGACTGACTCACGGGTTGACGAATATGCCAGTATTTGTGCGCGTGAGATCATAGATCGATAGAAACGAACCTGCAGCTGGTCAATGAGTGTAAGAAAGAGGAAGTTCTCGCTACGCTGGAATGCCTTCCGCGCCACCTCGAAAGAGAGTTCCTGGAGAGCCGCCACGCCCAGTCGCTCCCAGTCCAACGCCGTTACGCCCAGACACGCCACGGCGTACGCGTCACTACAATATAAGCCATTCGATTTTCGTTCACTTTATGAATCGCTTTTAATTACGCAAATAGGAATTATGTTAAATTTAGCATTTAGTAAAAAGAAACATGACGAGAGACACAACAAATAAATTTTCAATAATTTGATTTATATAAAAGTAAGTTTTATTAGAAAGTTGTTTTTTATTAGTATTATACAATGATATTATACTTGTAAACAATAGATGCGCAATCTGCGCCTGCAAACGGTACCCACGTCACTGTTGCCTGTAGGCAACAGTGACAACCAGGCAACAGTGACATTAGTCACCATCTTGAATTCGAGTGAGTACAACGCCACCGAGACGTGACAAAAAAGTATAAAAAACGGTGAAATATGTAATTAAAATGTGCAATTCTCGGTTCGAAAATGATCATAAAACTAATGAGGTTACTTTCCGCAGGTAAGTTTGCTTTTGTTTCTTTAGATTGTCGTAAATAAAAATAAAAATGAAATAAATTTATTTTAAACGTCAATGTTGCCAGTAAATCAATTTTCATTTGCTCATAATATTGGGAGTTAGCCTTTTTGAAGTTACTTTTGACTTCGTAGTCAAAACTGATTCTAATTCAAGTTTATTCGTTGTAACGTTTTAACGTAAAGTGTAACCGTAATACTATTAATACATAATACTATTAAAAATTACATTTCGTTTGTTTCCCAGAATACCTAAAGATCGAAAGCGCAGGGTCGAGTGGATAAAAATTATACGACTTTTACGAAAAGATATTTTGAGTAACAAAACACAAGGCAATTAATTATACAACAAGCTAACGATGCACAGTGGCTTTGAATAATTTGTAAAAAACTATAGTTAAATGTTTGTGTATCAAGTAATTTAGAATACCTACCCTTTTATAAATTTATTTTCGTTAAATAGAAACAGAAACTTTGTCGGAAGACAGTATTGTTATCACCTTTATCCAATAAATAAAATATACTTAAAAAGCATTTAATTCCTTAGATTAGAAAGTCATCTCTTCATATTTACAATTTATTTGAAAGAGCTGTGAATTCCAAGCGTGGACACTTAAGTTCATATATTTTCTTGTATATTTCACTCACTCGTTCATTCCATTTCTGATTACTATCTATCTCCACTGTCTCTTTCCACCAGTGAGGCTACAAGAAATTAGGGAAAATCATTTGTAAACCGGTAATACTGGTCATATTTTGACGTTATTATGTCTAGTTTGACATTAGAAAAACGGAACAAATATATTTTTCTTTGAAATTTCAATCCGTTTCAAAGCTAGTCTTTAACGGCGTGTTCAAATTAGCCGCTGTCTAAAGCTGCTGTCTAGTGAAATACTAGACGCGCTGCAGCAGCGCGATAGTCGCGCGGTTGCAGCGCTTCTAGAAATTGTATGAAAAGTGACAATAGTGCGGACGTCGCGAGGCCGCCGTGCGGATACAGCGCTGCTGCAGCGCGGCGAACAGCGGCTAATTTGAACGCGCCCTAAATTCTAAATTTGGAAAGTGGTCTCACATTTTAGACAATTGTTTGTAGGACATTGCGTCTCTAGTATTATTCATGCTCACTAGTATTATATGTAATAATAATAACTTGTCGTTTACGTCATGACGAGACGAAAGTCTTAAACAGATTTATAGAAGGTATCCGAAATACTCATAAGGGAGTCACCACACTTATCGACATGGAATCGCATTAAGTCGGTCAGAAAAATCTTTACGTCTATGTAATAATGTTATAAGTTTTTCTTCAACAAAAATGAGTAAAAATGAACTATGTGAAAACGCGTATGCGAGGTTTTCACTCTAAGGCGATAAACAACAAGATAAACCACAAGTTTGAGAAAAGGTAAGTACCTAATGCTTTTAAGTCTGTTAAGAAGAGATACATACAACTTTTGTTATGATTATTAATACAAAGATCAAACGCAGAAAAATTTGTTCGACCCGATGGGACATGAACCCATGACCACGCTGTACCTTAGCGCTGCTATAACCAACTGAGCTACAGGTCGTAAGTTATCGAGTTGTCGAAATTCTCCTGTGTTTTTGTTAAAGATCTTTAACAAAATTCTAGATGTTTCGGCACTAAGAGCCGCTAGTGACATCTAGTGAGAGATTTCTGAATCTTCATAATAATAACAAAACTAGTGGAGTTATTTCACAAAAATATCACAGTAATAAATTAAAATTAGTTTCACATGAATACTAACTTGAATTGTTTTTGTTGAACGTACTGATGCACGGCATGCGAGAGCGGTACATTTATGGTTTGCATTGCGTTTGCTTGCAGGCAGAACACGCGACCACCCTAGAAACAGACGTAAAAGAAGGTTACTTCATCAAACGAACTTGTTCAACCCAAATATAGTGCGCACAAAAAGTCGTCAATTAATGAAGTAATTATTTCGCGAGTATTTCTTTTTCAAACTATTTTTTTTTTGTGTTTATTATTATGTGTGTTTTAAGGTAGTAATACAACTATTACAATATTGGGTTATTCACAAATTTTGCTGCAAAAATCCGCGCAAATTGTATACGATAGTGTTAGCTTGGTCTCGCTCTATCAGACGCAGTAATAACGTGTATTAAGTACTTTGGAACTGTCTGATCGCATATTGCAAATTTTACCGCATGTTTCGACAACTTACTCGTGATAAATGATATTAAATAATGTGTAGTATGATATACTTAAGAGTGACATAAGGTAGATTGTTACTTACCTGAAAACCAACGACGGAGCCTGCTAACGGCTGTGTAGCGGGCGGGAAGTGACCGGCTTTGATGGAGAGCAGCCCGTTGCCCGACAGACTCAGCAGCTCGTCACACCACGAGTTCCACGACACCGAAGATACGTTTTCTTCCTAAGAATCGGTAATTATAATTGAAGGTACCTAATACATAGGAAATGAAACTATTTTTCCGGATTTAAATCGCATATATTTGTTTTTTCAAACAAACCAGCGTTTCGGGTCCTTTGTAGGTCCCACGGTCACGGTTGACTCATCCTAATCCACTTTAAAACAAATCAAGGTTTTGTCAGGGAAAAAATTTGTTATTATTGATTAAAAAATGTGTAAACAATGGCTCCTGTCAGTGCAGAAATAGAGTAGCAATTGGTCGGTGGTTAAATCCACTAGCAATATTGAATAAATAAAATTTTAGAATGGTTTCTGTTTTTAATTACAATTTTTTTAATTTTTATACATTTTACATATGTAGCAACACACACAACCTCAATTAATTGCTTGGTGTTTAGTATACACTCCGCTTGCCGGTCTGATTCAGCAAGCGAATAGCAGTAGGTGAAGCTTCAAAATCAGCAATGCTGAATCTTCATACTTTTTGTCCACATTACTGTTCTTTTGTTTTAATTGTTCGCATATATTTGTTTATGTGTTTTGTGGATAAATAAATGTATTTTATTTATTTATTATTTTATTATTAAATTTTTATTATAAAAGATTGTTTATTGTAAAAAATACTAAATCTTTATTCTTTTAAATTTCTGTGTCAATATCAACTCATACATATCCCACTTCTAAGGAGAAGGTTTCTGAACCCTAATATGTGCTAATGTCTGCATTAGCTACACTATAGTTCCCACGCGGATACCTGGAATTGAATTCTTACTGTGTAAAGCAAGTCGCCAGTGGGCAGGCTGTAGATGCGGCAGACGGAGGTCTCGTCGACGACGGCGATGCGGGAACGGGACGCGCTTACATCCAGGCAGCGTACGCTTGCAGGCGTCTGCAGTACCATCTTCGACCCTGCACCAGACGGCTCCACTTGCCAGATCTAAACAAGATTACTTTTATTTATTTTGTAGTAACCTCTGTGTATTCCTAAAACTATTGCACCCCACGCCAATCCATACCATACATAAGGACATTGACATTGATATTTAGATTCTAATTACAAATTTTCGCGTATAAATGTATTGTGTTGAAAAAAAAAATCACAAAAAATAGGATGATATGAAACGTTAATGTTAAGGTTCAAACTTGTATAATGGTACCCATATGTTTGTGTTTGATTTTAAAGACATTTTATGTCAAAATGTAACCAAAATGATTTTACCTTTAATCATACATTTGAGATGCTTACTGTTACATTAAACAATTATAATAAACAGTATTGCACTATTTAGAAGTTTAGCAGTCTGGCAATAAAAAATTTTAATGTAGAAAATATACTTTTGAAACTTCACTGCATGGGTTCAATTTACTTGCCTTTTTTACATTCACAACAAACTTTTTCATTTCAATAAGATACAATGAAAAGTAGGATAAAAAGAAATATGACAATACATTGTAATACACTAATATGATGACATTGTTCAGATATATCTGAAGGTGAGAAGTAAAGATCCTAATAGTATTTTTTACTACAGAGCGTCTTAAAGAGAATGAGGCTCTTGATTAGGCATTTAGATCAAATAGAACATGTTAAATAAAAAACAAACAACGATATATTCATTATGTTTTACTGATGCGATTTGTAGCATTCTAAGACACTGTTTGAAGGAAAACCTAAGTTTCTAAATATGAACTTAAAATCTATTACCTCTCACTTACAGAGATATTACCATAGAGAATACTATTATAATTCAATATATATGTAGTATAATAAGCCCCTGAAGAAGATAAGTGACGATACCACTGAGCACTATGCCCATTGCATCCTACACTAATAATAATTAAAAACAAAGACCATTCTGTCACTTACTTGTCCATTTAGTAAACCTAAAAGCAGTACTTCTTCGAAGTACAAAGTAGTAACTTTGACGTAGCGAATGGGAGCAGGCACCTGCCACGACCGTGGTATTCGACGGCCAATCATCGACAGTTTTGTATCCTGTTACACAAACAAATGATGATTTAGTTTTAGCGTAACATGATAGACCACACGATTTCAAACGCGCCTTAATATTTGTATATTTAAAAAAATCAATCTTATCTGTTTAATATAATTGCTTAAATGTAAAACCAAGCGTGCGTGACGTTGATTAACTTAATGTTATTATTTACTCTTGTACAGAAAATTTGGTGGCTTTGAAGATGCTACGTTCTGCACCAGTTTGACCGCAAAACTCCTTTAAAAAGCAAGCTCTGTTTAAAATTTACATAAATTTAATAAGCTGACCGTGTTCCACACATACCTGCGTGTAACGAGAGCGGTACAGTATAAATAAAAGTAGGAGTAAATACTGGTTTTATGTAAATTGGATTTCCATATATTTACTCCATTGGTATAGATATCTATAATATTTTAACAATCAGAAATAGGATGTGCTGGAACGGCAAATGAAGGCATCAATCTTAAACGGTGTTTAGTTAAAATCTTTACGAACCTGGCATAGAAGGAGCGCGTCACTCGTAGCGACGAGCAGTGAGCACTCGGTCTTCTGAGATAGTTTTTCTTTCACTCTATATAACATTCCTTCCACATCACCTTGCTCGTACACGACCACGCGCTCCGGCAGTTGTACCTGGACGAATTGTAATAATAATTTCAGGTGACCTCGGTGGCCCAATGGTTTGCACTATGGACATTGATTGTGTGAGGAAATTTTGGACACAATTTCCAGTGGGACCAATTTGAGAAATTACTTTTCTAAATTGGTCTTGACTGGCTGTTCTGGGTTCCGTAGTTAGTGACCAGGTAATTTATCGCTTGGGACATTATTATTGCGAACTTTATGTCCTTCATTATCTCCCTTCACAAACTATTTAAAGTGTGATCTATATGAACTCTTAAGACAAACACGAGCAATCAGTAAAAACAATTCACCATCGGGGTGAGAGGTACTAATCTAAGCCAAACATACCGTAAATTTTAAGCTGATTCGAATGATAGCAAGTGGATGAGAAAGGTATGACAAGATAAGAGCGGTTACACACGGCAAGTTCTAGCAGCGATGCAAACGTGCCGCAGTAGCTAATCGTCTACCTTTACACACACGCGCGACTTTAAGCAGCGTTGCAAACGCGTGACAAAAACACACGACTGCATCGATACAAACGCGCGATTGCATCGATACAATCGCCTATAATTCACAAGTGTAGCGATGCAATCTCGCTTTTCATGAACGCGGGTTCGCATCGCTGCTAAAAGTCGCCATGTGTAACCACTCTAAGTGTTAATCTAAGTAAAAAGTACGAATAATATATTGAAATCTTACAGCCAATCGATGTTTGTAAATGGCGATCTTCTGCACGCGATCGTGGCACTTGATGCGCACTTTGTTACCAGTCGTGAGGTGCTGGATGATGACGTCAGTCATATTCTCCCGGTACGCGTACCGCTCGCGATATAGCCCATGTACCGTGCTAAACGCTACCTGGTAGCACCATAGCGTACCGTCTTGACACCCTACCGCCTGTAATTATTACGTGGTATTTGATCCTACCCAGTAACTGTATATACAGTATTGTAGGGATGTTAATAAAAATACATACATCAGCAACTAGAGAGACGATTTTTGAGACATGGGTTTGCGTCCTAATAGGACACACAGGCTATTGATTTTAGGGCTCAATTTACATTGCCGCGGAAATAACCTTTATGTAAATTGTGGAACGTACTAACTAGACACGATACGATATCTGAGGGAATTCCCGAGACTGCGCGACAATTCTCCGGAATCTGTTCATTATGGTTAAAAATCCTTAAAGCCTAAGGCTGAATGTGCTTTGCAATGTCCATTTCTTAGTAGAAATCGATTGGTCTCTCCTATAACTTTTTGTACTGAAATGGCTCTACCACCAGTACATTAATACGCAATCTCCGAGATGCTTGAAATTCACATCAACATTTGTATAGCAGCAAGTATTCAGCTATAAAAAAATGTTAAATTAAAGATGACTCAATCCATATACAACAAAGTTATAAAACCACCATTACCATCGTGTTATAAGTGGGCAAAGGTGAGATGGCCCAAACCCATTCTTGTGCGGTGCTCAGCAGAGACACACCCTCAGCAGTGAGCACAGCCCAGCCGCCCACTCCGCCCACCAGCACCAATGCCCCAAGCAGCGATATTGATAATGCTGCTATACCTGGATAACGTTAAAGCTGAATAAGAGAAGAAACTACTGTATCGAGAAGAATTGACGAAATATATATAGATACGTAAAGGATAGGTTTGAATTATATATTTCGTTAATAATTATGATTCTAATCTTCACAAGTAAATTGTGTGTATTATGAAATAGTTAGCTGATGTTTGTTGTCTCTGAACACCTATGATAAAATCAATTTACAAAATTATTTATTAATATTCAATCTTTTACAGGAATGTTGGGTCCAATAGGCACACAAATTTTACTCTTGTCAGACATACCCCAGCCAGAAGAGATAATAAAATGAAGCTACGAAAGCCTGTACATTTTCTATATTATTAGTGGGCTTTGGCTTCACAATAGATCAAATTGCTGGATGCAAGTGATATAGGAATACCCAAGACTTGAATAAACCACCCTAAAAAAATAATGATAGCATTACCAATGTTTCTTTCCTTGAAAATTTGTTGTCCTTGTAAATTGTAAAAAGAAAGGGTTTCATTCCAATCTGTTACTAGTAGAGTTTGTTTGGAGAATCCCACTGCCCACACAGCTGCCTCTCTTGATATTCGCTGTGTTTCATCACCTAGCTATAAACCGATAAGAGGGACTCTATTAAAACTTTTCCATTTCATTTATATTTCATTGCCACTACCATTGCAATGCAAACTTACTACTACTACTACACTAGTTAGGCGACGATCAATAAATGATATATTACGTTAATTTGAAGGAATAAAAATATAAATACAAAAGGACCTAGTTTTACAAACAAAACTTATAAAATAATTAAATTTCAAACTCACTTTGTCCCTGATAGACACAGCTCCACTTGCCAATCCAATAGCCAAATGCTGACCACTCGGGGACCAGGCACAGGAAGTTATCCGTCCTGAGACTCGGTACTTTTGTACTGCCTTTACGTCAGCCGACCAGAAGGCAAAGTCAGATATGGCACATGATGCAAGATGCAAGGTTACTGGGTTGTATGCTAGACATTGGATTGCTTCACTGTGGCTATTTGGAAAATATATTGTAATATAGTAACATATATTTTATATCTATTTTTATTTTTATTTATTTATTTAAACTTTATTGCATACAAAAAAGTACAAATGGCGAACTTAATGCCACTAGGCATTCTCTACCAGTTAACCAGAGAGCTGAGTACAGAACAATTAACAGGCGTTGCAAAACTTGACAACAAACAAACAAAAACGAAAGAGAAAGGAAAAAAGAGGAATAGAGTTAATAAACAAACAATTTGGTTAATGTATATATTATGTACATAAATATGATCATACATAAACAATAAAAATTAATTTTATACATACATAATAATAAATATATATACATAACAATAAATTATATTATAATAATATATATAATAAACATATATCCAAATGAGACTATTGTGATGCAGGTGGAGAATCTAGCATTAGATTGCGGACTAACTGCTTAAATGCGAGTTTATTTGGCGCACTTTGAATATGGGGTGGGAGAGCGTTCCAGAGTCGTATTGCCTGAAGAGTAAACGAGTTAGAGACAAAACCAGTACGGTGAGGAGGAACAGATAAATTAAATTTATTATGTGAACGCTGATCACGGGCATTGTGCACACCAAAGTATTGAAACTTACATTTCAAATACTCTGGTGCACATGGGTCTTTGAGTACGGAATAAAGCGTGGAGAGGATTCTCAGATTCCGGCGCTGACGAATCGTGAGCCATTTCAACTTGTCACGATATGCGGACACATGATCATACTTGCGAAGACAGTAAATGAACCGGATACAACTATTGAGCAACCGCTCCAATTTGTTGAGAAGTTCTTGAGTGATATCAGCATAACACACATCAGCATAATCGAAGATAGGGAAAATGGTTGCCTGAATTAGCAGAATCTTTGTTGTAATGGGAAGAAAGTGTTTGAACTGATAGAATGACCTCAAAATACCAATAATCTTCTGACTAATGCAGTCAATCTGAGGTCGCCAGCAAAAAGTAGAATCAATGTGTAGTCCCAGATTCACTACATGAGGCACGAAAACAATGGATGTGCCATCACAAGAAAGAGGCGCAACGGAGCTTATGTCCAACCTAGACAAAGCATAGGGACTACCCACGATCATGCCTTGACACTTGCTTGGATTGACACTGATGCCAAACTTACTCGACCAGTCAGCAATACGTCGCAAATCATCATTGAGGTTACTTATCGCATCATCCAAGGAGTCAAATTTTGCTTGCGCATAAATCTGTAGATCGTCAGCATACAAATGATGAGAGCTGCGGAGAATAGGAGAGATTAAATTTATAAAAACTGAAAATAATAGGGGAGAAAGAATTCCGCCTTGGGGCACGCCTGCCTCTAGATCGCACCAATTAGACAAGACGTCTTTGGCACGAACAGCTTGCTTGCGCCCCTTAAGGTATGAAGAGAACCATTCCAGTTCCAGGGCAGAGACTCGCAAAAAAGCTAGGATGGCTAGGAGTATATCATGGTCAACAGCATTAAAGGCGTTAGAGAAGTCAATGAGAACTAATGCTGTCAACCGCGAAGCCTCCATGCCCTCACGAATGTCTTCCGTAACTTTCAATAATGCCGTTGTGGTACTGTGGCCCGGCCGGAAACCTGATTGGTACTGGCCAAGGACATTGTGTCTAAAAAGGAAGGATGATAATTGGCGATGAACAACTGCTTCTAGAATTTTAGAAAGGAAAGGTAGTATTGAGATTGGCCTAAAGTGTTTAAGAACAGACGGATTATTTATTTTAGGAAGAGGCAGCACATACGCCCTGCGCCAGCTGCTAGGGAAAGTACCAGAGGAAAGGGAACAATTAATAATATGTGTGATAATCGGCAGTACACTGTCTAAACAGCAGACTATCATTTGACGACTAATGTCATCACAACCAACGGCATTTGATTTTAAAGACATTATTATTTTGCGAATCTCTGACTCTGAAACCGAAGAAAAAGAGAAAGCTTGAGAAGGTTGACTACACAAGAGAGGAATGTCATTGAGAGCATTGACCTTGCCAATACACTGAGTGCTGGCGGCCGCTGAGAAGTGATGATTGATGTCATCGAGAGTGAAAGAATGAGGAATAGCGTCATTCTGAGGCTTAAGCAGACCCACAGACTTCAAAAATTTCCAAGTTGCAGCAGGAGAAGACTGTACAAGATTGTCATGAAAGTTGCGGCGTTTTGCGGCTCTCACCATCTGATTACAGCGATTCCTACATAATTTGAAGGCAGTCCAATTTTCCTCCGACCTACACCGTTTAAACTTACGAAAAGCTCCGTCACGCCTCCTCATTGCAATACGCACTAGAGGAGTGATCCAGGGTGCAGGGGGTCTTTTCAATTTCACTAACCGTATTGGTGCGTGCTTGTCATACAAGCTCAATAAAGTGGCTCCAAAGTTTGCCACCTTCCCATCCACCGTAGAAGTTGCCAATACCCCGGACCAATCAATAGTAGACGCATCATGAGCAAGTTTATTTAATTCCAGCCCCGCAAAATTTCTCAGCTTTTTAATTTCGGAAGAACGTTTGTGAGGCTTAATTTTGTACACAACATAGAGCAAGTCATGATGAGAGAAGCCCGGAGCCGGGACTTGACCATGTTTTACAACACGATTTGGAGAGGAGACAATAGCCTGATCAATCCACGTGTCCTCGGTATGAATATTGTGGTGAGTCGCATTAAACTCAAGTATAGACAAAGAGAAAGACTCGATAGTTGATCGTAAATTACGGGACGCTAGAGAATCCTGAAGGAGGTCGGTGTTTAAATCACCCATTATTACAAGATGAGAGTAATCCGTTGCGAGCGGGTCCAAGACAGAAGTGAGAGAAGTAAGAGTGACAGAATTAACAGGACGCGGACAATACACAACTCCAAGAATCGCTTTAACCCCAGAAACCACAATCTCCAAGAAAATATATTCAATGTCGTTTACATTTACATGCTCCGATGCTGAAATAGTCTTAAACGGAACAGAACTGCTGATATAGATGGCTACACCACCACCATTTACCAAAGGGCGATCATTGCGAACCAGGATATACCCTGGTAAAGCATAAGTAGTTGAATTGTGGCATGGCTTAAACCAACTTTCAGTAACCAGCACCGCATGCAAAGAACTCGACGAAAAAGTGTCAAGCAGTTCAGTGTCTATCATTTATAATATAATAAAGTGTCTTCAGAACGAGGTAGCACATTCAATAGAAAGATAAAATTCGTCAGGGGCGTCGATTTAACCAATTCGATTTTACAATAAATTATTATTATTTCAGAAACAACACTGTACTACTAAACATAATAGACTTGTATTGAGGTGTTTTCGTAACACTGTTACAGCATGCATGCTGATTCACTTAGGATATTCAAATCCTTTATACTAAAGCATTAACAGTGGCTGTGTTTGCACATTACTTATTATTATATCAAATGACATTCCTGAAGGAACACATTCACAAATGATACATGAAAGATAATGGTTATTATTAGTCATTATTATTAATGCATAAAGTGGATACCGCCAAAAACATTAAAAACCACATATTAACTATAAAAATAAATAAGCAATCTAGAACAATGTTTGCCCTTGAACGGCTGAGTCTGACTTGTTAATGAACTAAACGCCCCACTCTATTGGAAACTTAAGTGCATTGGACATTGTACCACCATTGTAGGATGGGTACTTATAAATTTACTTAGTTTCAGTGACAACTGATCAATCATAATTCTACTTCAGCGCAGGTATATGACAGGCATAGACAATATCATCTATTGTACATCTAATGTTCTAATGTAGGTAACATGCACACACGCACACACACACACACACACACACACACACACATACATACACACACACACAAACACACACCACACACACGCGCGCACACACACACACACACACACACACACACACACACACACACACACACACACACACACACACACACACACACACAC